AACGATTGGGAAAAATCCTCTCAGATATAATACATATCGAAAGATCAACACTTGTCAAAGAAAAAGATGAAACATGTTATATGTACGAAAAGAAACATCCAAGTATATGTGATACATAGAAAAGCAAAAAATTCCAAACATATATGAGTTAATAGGAGAACGAAAAGAAAATATAAAGGAGAGAAAATGGGAGGAACACATATACAAAAACACAGTGGATAGAAATGTGTGAACTACCACCTAACACATGTCTTTCAATATATTTCAATAAAGCTAATTCACCAGCTAATGTTTCTTTACCAGTTGGAATAATTTGATTTTCCGGTAATAAAAACCCATAATCACCTAAAAATAAATAGTTCAAGAAAACTTTGTCTTCTAAAAATATTTCATGTTACCAGTATCTCGAAGTTCTACACCATAACTAAATATTATATTAGCTGTACCATATGTCCAATCAACTGTACTACCAGATGCAACATAAATAATTTGGGCAACACTATCATGAGTATATTTCGTATCTGAAATAAAACTTATTTTCTGTGAAAATCTTTGTATTATACTCACTCTCAACAGCCATAATTGCTTGAACAGCTTCAGCTGATCCATCATCTAGTAATTTAAATTCTGCTGGTCTTGTTGTTGTATAAGCTATTAAGACAAATAATAAAATATGAAACAAATATTTTTAATATTAATATTTACCCCATGGTACCATCCAATATTGTGAAAATGCATGAAAATTAATATAATGTACAATTGTATCATTATGATTACTAAGAAATTGTGCTACTTGTGCTGTTTCAACTTCTGAAAATGGTTTACTTCCACAATAAGAATCACTACATGGATCAGGTGAAGAACCATCTAGAAACATCATATGAATATTAATACAGTAAGGAATAGATAGAAATTTACTTTCACACCAATGATAATCCCAATTACGATTTGGATCAGTACCAAAGCAACCAGTATCAGATGTTTTACTTCGAGTTTTACGCCATAATCGATCTAAAAATGAAATTTTTAATTAAAAAAAAATATTTGTCATTCTGTACATTACCATTTGTCCATGTGTATACATAACCATCTACATTGAATACTGGTAAAATATAATAATCAAATTGATCTACCAAATGAGTAATTGTTGAATCTTTGCCATAATTTGATAAAAGTGCATAGGCAATATAAATATTCGTTGCTGGACTGATCCATTCTCGAGCATGAATACCTAAAACAAAAATATTTTTGAAAAATCTTCTAGGAAAAAAAACCATAGTGTTACCTCCATCCCACCAAATAGCCTTTTTTTGATTTACTGGAGTATTATCAAGTTTAACTGCTGTTTTATTCGACGATATTTTCAAACCTTTCAACGGACGATTTTCATATGATTGTCCAATTACAAATGATGTTGCTAATGATGGATATGTTTCAACCATTGAATCAATCCATGAATGAATTTCATCAAGTGGATGATATTTATCATACGCAAATTCGTTAGCCTTTCCATATGATGGTGAAAATTTATGAACTAATTGTTGTTCTTCAATAACAGAACCAATATCTTTCATAATAACATCATATTTTATTTTCATATTATCTGATGATAAATATTCACTAAAACTATTAACAGATTCAGGTGCTATACTAACATCAATCTAATCAAAATATTTTATTATTTTAATTATTAAATTAAAAATTTACCGGAATATTTGTTCGAAATTTTTCAGACCAAAAATTGATTTTGTGTTCATATGCTTGATGACTAAACTCAAGTAATTTAGCGACTTGTTCATTATTTGTAGGATGTAAACGCCATAATTGATACTTTGAATAGGATTTATAAGCATAAACATTTAAATTAATAGTCGCTAATACAACTAAAGCAACAATAGAAGAAACCAACATTTTCATATCTATAAGATAAATAAGAGATGAGACAGAAAGTAACCATTACTATGCATATTAATATGACAAAAGGTATCAAAATAAAATAAATATGTTTTTACTTCTTTGGAAGTAAGACTAAATTCTGATAAAGCACAGAAAATGATGGTGAGCATGATAAATGCTATGTTGCAAAAAATATTCATCAAATATTCTCTAGATTGAAAGGATAGAACAAGGTACAACACGTTGACCGTAGCGCCATATGTCAATATGTTGTATCCCAGAGATGACAGCACTGGGATAGGGCCTAGAAACCGAAATTCACCTGTGTCTGTCTATCTTTTCGTCTGTCGATAATGCGGTCAAAGTGTGACCATGCCAACTATGATAAAAGTGACCATATAACAACTATGGCACAAGCGACCATGGTAACTATGGTTCAAACGGTTGTATAGGAAGTTGTAAAGATCATCTGGTCACTGTAAATCAGCTTAATCGAACAGTATCGGTTGAAAATGACGAGCAATGGTAAATAATCTCTTGATTGAGTTTTTATTCAATGGTGCATGGATAATTAGGCAATTGATTAGTAAATTGGAATGAGCCATATTCACAATTCGCTTATAAGGCTCCGAGAAGCTGTTCATCAATGGGTTCAGCCCCGATCCGACCTATCCTCACCCTTACCTCTGCCTTTTCTGCAATGGAATAGGTTACTTGCGTTGCTGAAAAAGATGGAGACAATGTCAAAGAGAAGAGAAGATGAAAGAGATGAAGCGATGTGACTTGTCATTAATGAGCAACTTTTCTTTGAATAATGTAAATGTTATAGTTTTATTTTGAACGTAATAGCGCTAAAACAAATGATTATAAAAATTCGTCTTATTGTCTACATTATCGTTATAATTTCTTGATTAAGAGAGAGTCCATGAAACCACCACCCAAAATATTAGAGATTGGTTGCCGAAAAAATTGAGTTTTTGAAATCAGTTCGCTAGTTTGAAAGAGCATAAAAAGTTACTTAGAAACCCAAATTTTTACGATTTTTGTACAAAGTCTTCCAATACTTCGACGATCCACTTGTTTTGTCCCAAAAAACTAATATATCAAAAACTATGATTTTTAAATCATTTTTGTTTATGAGCGTTTTGATAACAAAAAATCGGTCAAAAGCGTTATCAAATTATACCAAATGATAGAGTAGAGGCTACTCTACAATATCTTATACTTTTTATACGTTACTACATGCCTCCAGAATCGAAAAAGACCTATATGAGAGGTGAAACCGACTATTTTGGTCTGTTTGACATGGTGTATTTTATCCTTTTTCCATTTGGGTGTGGGTGGGTGTGGATGTGGGTGTAGGAAGAGACGACCCATACGTATACATGCACCCACATCGACACCCTAGTTTTTCTGTAAGACCTATTTTGTTTCATATATCATTCAATGTACTATTTAGACATAAAAAATTAAATTTAAATTTCATTAATACTTATAATCATTTATTATACCCTCATATCATCATGATAAGACGTACACATGACATAAGGCTCCTTTGTTTTTAAAAGTCTCTCTCACTTCATCTCTACTCGCCATACATTCGATCTAGTCGTTTTAAGAGATATCAAATATCTATATAGAAATTCAACTTTGAATATGTAATAATTATTTATCTGAGAATTTTAAATGAAAATATTTTGTCATTAATAGCTCAAGAAATTTCTATATTTATTAATTATTGAAACTTTACGAATCATTTATTTTTCACATCTTGTCATTATCAGAAAAGATTAATAATGAAAATTTAAACACAAGTAACGCAGCGCAAACGCTGCTAACCCTCTACTGAAAGGATGAGTTGCACTGAAGATAGGATAATAGAAGTACTAGATATGGGAAATGATTCGTTGGCAGCACATTAAGGAGCAGAATGAAACGAACCATTATTATTCAAGAGTTGAAAATGTAGATTCCCATATTCGGTAATGCCTATGGAAATTGCATATTTTAAGCATGTCAAAAATATGCTTTATATCCACATGATATCATCAACATTCTCCGTACTCGCTTTGCTCAGCTAAATATTGTTATAGCATTATCAATAGTCTAATCAAAGTGTTTCTATCGCGTTCCCGAGTTTCAAAATGTCTGAAATTTGAAACCAAGCGATTGAAAGTGACAAAAAGTCCTGTGTTAACGCCTGAAAATGACAACATGCCTGTAATAAGATGAGTGTCAAGATTCCCCTAGCTCCATCAAAACCATTTTTGTTACTTTTATTTCATGAAAAAGCTTGTTAGCGCAGCTCCTTTGATGCTGAAATATAGAACTCATATATACTATCGAGCTTAATTAAACTAATACATAACACATAAAGTGATAAATCTCTCGTAGATTATAGATGCTTGCAGGATAATTGATATTCAGAGTAATGACTTCTCTAATTTCTGCATTTCGAAAAGAATTTTCATTATTTTAAAATTCTTTTTTTCTTAATTTAACATGCTTATTATTATAATCATTGAATTAATTGACAAATATGTCTGTTTTACATATTCATGATATCTACAGCAGGTCTCAAGCACTATTGTTTATGTTAATCAACTCACAAATAGTAATATTTATTATTATTCAAAATTATAACTTGATCAATTTTGCAACAAAATCTAAAAAATGTGACGCCTGTTATTCTTCATTGCTATGGTCTGTAATGGAGAGGGGTATAGCAGGAGTGGGAGCCACAAAAACTCGCTATTAAACTTACACTCACCATTTTCTTCGAAAAATATGTGAGTTCCGCAAAACTGACTCAGCGGTCCATATATTCACTACAGTGGTGTAGTTTTTCTCTCTCAAGCCATTTAAAGTAAACAAATATATCATTCACTTTTTATTTTTTATCTCTCTTATGTTCTTTCTTGAACGAAGCAACATCGATATGACTCTTCTCTTAACTCGTACTCGTACTCACACTCACATTCCATTCAATAAATCTAGATCAGCAACAAAAACCTGTTAGCGTTAATGATGATACACTGCGATGCTAAACCAAGACTAAGACACGCTTTCTGGTTTAATTAGCTTCGGACATTTGCCCGGATAGCAGGAGATGTGGGCTTGAGTCCCACGAAGGTCGTCTTTTTCCTCATTCTCTTCGTTCACTGCATTTCCAATCGTATGAATCATATATGATGCTTACAAATCCGTGTCGCTATTCGACTACGCACAGCAGAGTAATGATATAAGTAATTCTGTTCCACTACGAACTGGATTACCTATGAAGGTAAAAACTTTATCAGTCAAAAATTTCCGCTTTCGTAATTCCATACACTGACTATATATGATTCGAATTCGATTGAAACTGACTGTGCTGTTGTAGAACTAAAACCATTTTATTGTGAGTATCGATGTACGTTAAAGTCCCTAAATCACCCTGTGTTAGTTATGATTTGCTGAAGGGTACGCAAATGAACTCCACAGATGCTCGAAAACTTTGATCGACAGTTATTGATGCCTGTCTAAAATTCTCAGGGATACATCTCTTACTATAGACAAATGAAGGTATACAGAATATGAAGATATTGTAATAGATATGGATATCTGAATACGTAGCATATTGGCTTCATATTTCTGATAAATTACTAGCATTGATTCGAGTACTGTTACTCTGAAGTAGAACAATAAAAACAAAAATTCTCGTTACAAGTATACCATGGAAAGCAAGATTGAACCTTAAATATGGAGTATATTTCAATGTGAACGCAATTTTTCGTTCTTTTAAATATTTAAAAACCATGTTAAAATAAAGTTTGGCTTCTATAGAAGAATCAGCTGGTATTCGTCTATTTATTCAAAAACTATGAGGAGTTTTTGACAACTTTGTAGATTCGGATTAGTGGTTAAAAAAGAGATATCAAGTTTCGTTCACATCGGGTGTAGCTGTGGCTATGAGGATTCGAGTGCTGGTGTATGTTGAGTCAAGAGTAGCATCCACACCCATGGTTGTGCTTTTGGATGTCTGAGTGTGACTGTGGGATCGGTGCCGAGTTGCGATTACGAGTGTTCCTTTCACTGTCATCAACACTGAAGCCGTCGCTCCTATGCCTACATACATCCAGATGCCCCTGATACATAGATTCTTGATTTCCTCTTTTCTGATTGATTCCTTACCTGTTGTTGCGTTTTAGACCTGATTGCGCTTAGTAGTTGGATTGAAATGTTAAAACAGTCAAAAGTCGCTGAAAATGCAGTAGAAGTCGTCTCCTTGTATAGATTACTTCATCATTTTACTGACATTTATTGAAGAGGCGAGCTTGAAGAGAGCAACAATAAAATTTATTGCTTACGAAAGAAACATGACAATAAAATATTATTATCTTTATTGTTTGACTTTTATTGGCAGATATTTGTGCAGCTAGAGGAAAAATGCGTTTAATCGACAAAGCTTAAAACAAGGTATGAAAAGAGCAAAAACAATAGATGCTCTGAAAATTCGACGATTGGCTTCAAGAGTTACCTTTTTTTTCTGTGTGTGGATTTGGTTGTGGTTGTGGCTGTTGGGTATAGGGTGGTTTTGAATATGGAGTGTGGGTGAGTGCGGGTGTAGGATGATTTGTGGTAAACTGTGGGTGCGGGTGTGAGCGTGAGAGTAAGAGTGGATCAGTTCTTCAGGCACACCTAGATTCACTAATATTCACATCCCACCCTCACCCCCTTTCTCTACACTCACACTCTTTTGTAATATAGATAATTTACCAGTATCGTACTTTTTTCTAAATGCCTTTTATTGGATTAACTCATTGCAATTATAAACCTGGCAATTGTTGAAAACTTTCTTTCGCTTACGAGTTTCAGCCTTGCACATGTTCACATGGTTAGTGCTCACATTTTTACGCATTATTGTCTTTTTGATGAAATGCACAAGTTTCAGTTCTAACTAGGGAGTGGGACTAGTCTACCACTTTAAAACTGGAATTGGTGCATTCCTAAATGAAACCCTTTTTATGTGTAAGTTT